TCTGGTGGAATGGGATGAAGAGAGATATAGCCGACTTTGTATCTAAGTGCTTGGTATGTCAGCAGGTCAAAGCAGAACATCAACGCCCAGGGGGGTTGCTTCAGCCTTTACCGATTCCAGAATGGAAGTGGGAACACATCACCATGGACTTCGTATCGGGACTACCAAAGGCACGATCGGGACACGATGCCATATGGGTAATTGTTGACCGACTCACTAAGTCTTCCCACTTCCTGGCCATCAGAATGACTGATTCGTTGGACAAGTTGGCAAGAATGTATGTCCGGGAAATAGTCAGACTGCATGGGGTCCCAGTAACAGTGGTATCCGACAGGGATCCCAGATTCACTTCTCGGTTTTGGAATAGTTTCCAGCAAGCTATGGGAACAAAGCTGTCCCTCAGTACTGCCTTCCACCCCCAAACCGATGGACAATCAGAGAGGACAATCCGTACGCTGGAGGATATGCTCCGAGCTTGTGTCCTTGACTCCGGAGGCCATTGGGACGACCATCTACCCCTGATAGAGTTTGCCTACAACAACAGTTACCAAGCAAGCATCGGCATGGCCCCATACGAGGCGCTTTACGGGCGTCCGTGCAGGTCACCGATTTGTTGGGAGGAAGTGGGCGATAGAAGATTGTTTGGCCCGGATTTAGTGGAAGAAACCACGTCCAAGATAGTTAAGATCAAGAAGAACATCCAGACAGCTCAGAGTAGGCAAAAGAGCTATGCTGATACCCGGAGGAGAGACCTGGCCTTTGAGAAAGGTGACCGTGTGTTTCTTAAAGTCACCCCCTTCAAGGGAATTAGTAGGTTCGGCAGAAGGGGAAAATTAAACCCCAGATACATTGGACCCTTTGAAATCTTAGACAAGATTGGTACCACTGCCTACAGACTTGCACTGCCCCCTGAGCTCTCCCGGGTTCACAATGTGTTTCATGTATCTATGCTGCGCAAGTATAATCCGGACCCTTCTCATGTCGTGGCTCATGAACCGCTTTCACTCCGAGAAGACTTGTCTTATGAAGAAGTACCGGTCAGTATCACGGACCGAGAAAGCAGAATACTCCGTAACCAGGAAATATCATTTGTAAAAGTCTTGTGGCAGAACCACACGCCTAGGGAGGCGACTTGGGAGCTGGAATCAGAATTTAGGGCCCAATATCATCATCTGTTTGATCAAGAGTAATGAGGCAAATTTGGGGACCAAATTTCTTTATGGGGGGGAGAGTTGTAGCACCCGGAAAGGAGGAGGAAAAAAAAAAAAAAAAAAAAAAAAAGGGGGGGGGGGCCACGTCAGCAGCCACGTCAGCAGGCCCGGTCAGCAGTCCCGGCCAACCGGGGCCTGCCACGTGGCAAGATCGCGTCACTCCGAAAGGAGCCACGTTGGCGATCTGCGTGGGTGCGATCCGACGGCCCAGATCAATCACGCGATCGGACGGCCCAGATTCAAACGCACGGACGGCCCAGATTCAATCAAAAAATGAACGGCCCAGATTAAAACGAAATGAACGGCTGTGATCAAAAGGCAAGGGGTTATAAATAGAACCCCCACACCAGACCAAAAACCCTAGCCGCCAGCCGCTCGCCGGAGAAGACGAACCAGAGGCCGACCGCCGCCACCCGCCGCCACTCGCCGCCGCACCGGGGAAATTTCCGACCGCCGATCGAGGTAAATTTCATACCCCCGACTCGTTTTTCCCCACTGATTCCTCCTATGGCCAAATCGAAGCCGAAATCCCGGCCAAACGGCCGGAATACGCGGCCGAAGCCCAGCGGCGCCGCCGCGCCCCCTCTCGGTTTTTGCCTCCGACGAGGCCCTTCCCGGCCTCCGTTCGATGCAATTTTTATATCACCGTGATCACCATTCTTTTCTCTACAGGTTGACCGGAGCCAAATCACCAAAACACGAACCTCGCCGGAGAGCCGCTGCACCCGAGAGCGCTGCCGCCGGTAAGCTCCGTTTTTTTCCGTGATTTTTGGCCCCCCGAGGGCCCTAGGGCTGTTTTCTGACAAGGACCAATGCGAGTGTGGCCGAATTCGGCCGAAAACGGCCGAAAACAGCCAACCCGAGGCGACTCGCCGCCGCCAGCGGCGGCGCCGTCGCCGGAGCACGGCGGAGCCGCCGTGCCGGAGTTGCGATTTGGGCCGAAAGAGGCCCTGGGCCTAATTTGGATTTTTTTTTGGAACACGTGCAGGTACTGTTAGTGTGTTTCAGTTCCCCGGGAAAAAAATTCAGGAAAAATTAGGGACAGCCTGCAAGCGCACTGTGAATCGTATTCGGATCCCGAAAACAAGTAAGGACCCCTCACCCTATTTCCTATCACGGTATTAAAGTTCAAAATGATAAAACGGTATTTCTTGAATTAACGCATGTGTGAAATTGCTTAAGGTTGCTAATGGAGCCCGAGTCTAGTGTGATTGATGATTTACTGTTATTTGGCCTGTTTACAGCTTTAAATGCAAAATGAGGTTTGATGTGTTCATTTTACAGATTTGTGTGCATGTACTACGTTTTTATTAATTATGGGTTGAATGACTGAAAAACTGATACTGTATGTTGTCTGTTTGGTATGAATTACGATTTGCTTGTTTAAATGTGAATTGATGATGCTGACTGAGGAAAAGAAAAATGAAAGATCGTGTAGACTGATAATTGTATTATGGGGGTCAGCCTGACTAGATATCCTGGGAAATGGTGGACGGACCGGGTCCGTAGGGAACCCTACCGGGATTGTGGTCTCACATGCCGGACGGGGTATGGAGATCTTATGGTTTTGGCGCCCATACCGGACGGGGTATGGGGACGGCCCGTTTCACCCTCATACCGGACGGGGTATTGAGGTTTATGGTTTTGGCGCCCATACCGGACGGGGTATGGGAACGGCCCGTTTCACCCTCATACCGGACGGGGTATTGAGGTTTATGGTTTTGGCGCCCATACCGGACGGGGTATGGGACGGCCCGTTTCACCCTCATACCGGACGGGGTATGAGGTTTATGGTTTTGGCGCCCATACCGGACGGGGTATAGGGACGGTCCTGGAAACTGATTATGAATGTTAAAGGTTAACGGGTAGCGGAACCCCTATGGACCCCCACGGATACTAGTAGGCTGGTAAATGAGAAAAAGATATGTTGTACAATGATTGAATTACAAGAGGCGTGATAAGTGTTATGTTTTACAGCTTACATTATTCAATGATTATGATGATGTTATTGTTTTTCTCATATTGTTTTCATAAATTCCACCAAGGTAAGTGGATGGTAAAGGTTTTCATGTTAATAAACGAGTTTGTTGTAAATTATGCTCCATTGGTCTTTTTTGTGTTTTTCTACCCACCTTTATCTCCGTGACGGTGAGATATCGTGATGTTCTTACTGGGCTAGTGTAGCTCACTCCTTAATTAACCATTTCAGATCAGGAAGACATGGTTCCCGAGCCCGTTCCGCAGGAGGACGACGAAGGGGATGCCTAGAGACTCTGTAGTCATACGCATAGTTTTATTTTCGAGTTTCTTTCTTAGTTAGTTTAATCTTTTATATTTTAAGTATGTTTTTGGGTTTTTTTCTCATGTAAGGGATGTTAACTGAAATTTTGATCTCGCTTCCGCATTCGATATATTTAAATACTCATTTCATTTTAATATTTCCGGGGCCGTTACAAAACTGACAAGTAATGAATTCCGTTCTATCGTATCCAAAAGTAAAAAATTTAACCTACAAAAGAAAAAGAAAAAGAAAACTCATTATCATTTAGATTATGTAATCAAAACTATTCTAGAGATCATACAAAAAATGTAATGAGAAACAAATGCTACTCAATTATACTTTAATTTTTACATTCATCCCCGATGGGAAAGAGAAAATTAAAAAAAAAATGAAAATATAAAAATAAATTATGTCTCTTTGTAATTTAACGTTGAAAGAAACTTACCGATGGAATCTCGTTCGCTCGCGCGCACATGTCTTGGAGTAGCCCCGTTTTGATCTCCATGCCAACGACGTCGTTTGGGAATAAGAGGCTGGTTTGGACCGACTCTCATCTCTTTCTTCTTATGGATTCAAGATTTCTTCTCTTATTGGGCTTTATATTGGATTTGGGCTTTTAAAATAGTTCATGGGCCTCTCAACTCCAGCCCATTCGTTTCCTTCCTTCTTCTATATATTTTCCCTTTTAACTTTTTTTTCTTTTTCTTTTTCAATCCTTCTTTCTATTTTTTACAAAAGCCAAGTACAATGGCAGGTGTATTCGAATATAAAGGTTGATCCTCAATTATTACAGATAAGATCATATATGTCTGTGTGTATATATAACTGGAGTTTTAGTACTCGAGTCATAAGTGTTATTTTTGTACTGAAAATTAATTTGACACAAAGTATGTGCATTATGAAAGGGTATATTCAAATATAAATATTGATTTAGTGTAATGCACATTAATTTAGTAAACAAAAATATTTTTTCTTATTTTAATGGTATAAAAAGCGACCTACAAATAATTATGTTTCTATTTAGAATTGAATTAAGAAGTAAAAAAAAAAAAAAAATTAAAGAATAATTATTGTTCGTGTTAGTTTCCTATTAATTATTCCATAATGTATGTTATAATTATTTCCATATATATATATATACATACACGTACACACATATATATGTCCATCACATTAGTATAGCCTTTTCATGTCATGTCATGTCATGTATTTGAACATAAAATAAATACATATACCCTGTAAAATTAATGAGGTAGGAAAGAACTTTATTACAACAAACACTACATTACCTTCAAATCTATCAATATTTTGCACGCACTACTAGATCAGTACATCTTTATTATTGCCCATTGCTTCTACTTTATTTTTTCCAAGTAATCAAAAGAAAAAGAAAAAGTAAAAAGAGCTAGACTTAATTACCTCATATTATTTCCAATTATGTCTTATAAATTAATCCAACTAGCTATATATATATATATATAGCTGTTATTTTTTAACATATCATTGAATCAATATTGACCCATATACTTATTTTCCATCTTAGCTTTGGTAACTTCAAAGATCATAGGATATAAATCTATTGTATCCTTCCACACATTCTCTTCCTCCTTCAAATCCCTCATCACCTCCCATAAACTGTTTATGCACTCAAAACCAGCTCCAAGACCAATCATCAAGATCTCATCACCATTTTTAAGCCTCTTCTTAGCTTGCATATAGCTTAAAGCATACCAAATTCCACATGATGCAGTGTTGCCAAATTTATGAAGCGCCATTCTTGCCGGCTCAAGATCGTATTCACTAAGCTGTAGAGTCGTACCAACTTGGTCGATCACAGCTCTCCCACCAGGATGTATGCAGAAGTGCTTAATTCTTGACTTAATACTCCAAAAGTTTTTATATTTTAAAGAAGTTATAGTTTTAATACGAATCCAGACTGGAAAAATTTTAGGTTCCAGCAATTTAAGGTTTAGGGTTAAAGCTTTGGAAGCTGATTTGATTAGGGTTTTATTGAGAATAAACCCTTCATATCCTTGATCATCTTCAGCTTGGAAGCAAGCTTTGTAAGCTTCATCGTCTTCACCAATGTGACTTCGGACTAAGCAGTTTAGCTTCATGATTGCGTTGTGTTTCATAGTTTTGTTGTTTGTTAAAAGAATTGAACACCCTCCTAATCTGAAAAGACAATTGGAGAGAATCATAGATTTATCTTTTCCCGGATACCAATGAGAACCGAGAGATTCTGTACTAACAACAATAGCTAATCTATTATCATATAGTTTGAATAATCTCTGAACAACATCAATGGCGGCAAGACTCGAACTACAGCCCATTCCGGAGAGATTGAAGGCCTTAATGTTCTCCTTCATCACGTATCTGTTCACTATTCGAGCTGTGATTGAGGGAATTGGAGCGAAAGCAGAGACACTAACAACGAGTACGTCAATTTCTGCTGGCGAGACCCCCGTTGCTAAGAAAAGTTTGTCGAGAGTGTTGAAAATGGCATCATCAAGCTCCAAGAGCGAATCGCCAAGAGTCGGGAACTCTTCTCGGCCATCAATGACGTTTCTCGGGGAGTAAGACTCTTCACCAATACCTGACCTAATTAGTGTTCTTAAGACAAATTTATGTTCTTGGGAGCCGAGGTTCTTGTTCCTCCGAACAATTTTCATGCCATTTTCAATGTCAGTCTTTTTATCGTCGGTAGGCTTGTAACATTCGTAATGCAGGATGTAGCAGCAACGGTTTCTTCCATAAAAAATTGACTTGCACAGGTTGAAGATGATGTGGAGAAGCAGAAGTAGAGATACTGTGATGAGGATATCCATGGATGGGGGTGGTAGAGTTTGAGAAGAATAGAGTGGGAGGAATCTATTTATATGGAAATTTTAATTTTGTCTCTATTATCCACGTGCGTAAACTTTTAATTTATTAATTTAATTATAGCAATTATTTAATTTATAATTATGTATATTTTGTGGGTGCATGGTGTTTAAACATGACCCACACCATGCATCAATGTACTTATTATTAATTTAATAATTATACTTTTTATTGTATATGGATGCATGTAGTGATATATTATATATATATATATAAATATAGTGATAGGGGTCTGTACCAGTTTTTATTATATATCTATTTAAGAAGGCACATTCATACAATATGCGTCTCTGATGAGAATGGTATGCATCGATTAACCCCATCGGTTTCATACTAAAAATTTTTTAAGATCAAAAACCGATTAAGATAGAATCCCTTATGCTTAATAATAAAATATTAAATTTTATATTCTCAATAAAATTTAAATTTTGATGGAGTTACAACTAGTATTTAATTATCTCAGAGTTTTTAAGGTTTAACATATAGTACTTTTTTCTGATACTAATTATACACATATACATATACATATATATATATATATATATATATATATATTTGATAAATTTGTTATTACGTAGGTTATTATTATGTGAATGCATGATAGCAAAGACTAATATTAATAAATAAATATTAAAATAGTCAAAAAAATATAATATGATAATAATAAAATAATTATATCTATTAAAATATTTGTATCTCTAAATTAAAATGATATAAATAATGGGGAAGAGGAGCTTGAAGACATTTAGCCTTTTATCTTCCATTGAATGCCATTGAAGACCACTGCCTGCCCTTGCTAGAAGTCAACTTTCTCAATACATCATCACATGTTTATGAACTTATTAGAAGGCAGCAGACTCAAATTAATTACACATAATGGGTTCTCCTCAATTCGATTTATAGATCGGAAGATTCGTGATCTAATAAACTTGAGCCCCACTCCAATCAATTATTCAATTTTTAAATTTCAGATTTTTTTTTTAAAAAAAATAGTAATAATACAAGTTATATGTATTTATTATAAACCTGTCAAGACCGAGAATTTAGAACATGATTCGAGTGAAACTACACATCGAAAAATACTGGTAACTTGAAACAAAAGACGGTGCCATATAATTCCCCGGGAAGATGGCCGCACCGAGGATTTTTGTAAACAAATCAAAGAGTGTAACCACATCATGCAAGATGCTAGGGCAGTCTAAAACAATCTTCAAGAAAGATCCTCTCTGCTTAAACAAACTCAACTATTGCTTACTCAACATTCTTCTTTTGAATCTCAAACTCTCTAACTTAAACTTCAATTTTAATACTTAATAAGCTGATTATTTATATATACTAATCACTTACGTATTTTTCACGAATAGGATTAAAATGTGATAAAAAAATATCGGTGTTTTTATGAACTTACACATAACTCTTATAACCCTTTGAAGTTAGATACAACAGTATCTGGTCACTTGATCATATAAGTTTTATGGTCGAAATTAGTGGCATTGCCCAACTTTATTGAGAATAAAAAAAAATTTCCTCTTTATAAAACAATTAATCAAAATACCAATGTTCATTAAAAAAAACATCGGCATTTTTATGAACTTACACAGAAATCCTATAACCCTTTGAAGTTAAATACCACAGTATCTGGCCACTTGATCATATAAGCTTTATGGTCGAAATTAGTGGCATTGCCCAACTTTATTGAGGATAAAAAAATTTCCCCTCTTTATGAAACAAATAATCAAAATACCCATGTTCATTAAAAAAAACATCGGCGTTTTTATGAATTTACACAAAAATCCTATAATCCTTTGAAGTTAGATGTCACAGTATCTGGCCACTTGATCATATAGGCTTTATGGTCGAAATTAGTGGCATTGCCCAACTTTATTGAGAATAAAAAATTTTCTCCTCTTTATAAAACAATTAATCAAAATACCCATGTTCATTAAAAAAAACATCGACATTTTTATGAACTTACACAGAAATCCTATAACCCTTTAAAGTTAGATGCCACAGTATCTGGCCACTTGATCATATAAGCTTTATGGTCGAAATTAGTAGCATTGCCCAACTTTATTGAGAATAAAAAATTTTTCCCTTTTTATGAAACAAATAATCAAAATATCCATGTTCATTAAAAAAAACATCGGCGTTTTTATGAACTTACACAGAAATCCTGTAACTCTTTGAAGTTAGATGCCACAATATCTGGCCACTTGATCATATAGGCTTTATGGTCGAAATTAGTGGCATTGCCCAACTTTATTGAGGATAAAAAATTTTCTCCTCTTTATGAAACAATTAATCAAAATATCCATGTTCATTAAAAAAAATATCGGTGTTTTTATAAACTTACACAGAAATCCTATAACCCTTTGAAGTTAGATGCCACAGTATCTGGTCACTTGATCATATAGGCTTTATGGTCAAAATTAGTGGCATTGCCTAATTTTATTGAGGATAAAAAAATTTCTCCTCTTTATGAAACAACTAATCAAAATACCCATGTTCATTAGATAATATCGATTGATGTCTCCACCAATGATATAGACCTATAGAGATGGTAAGAAGATCTGCCTGCAATAACTAGAACTTGACTAAACTCAATTCACCTCAAATTACAAAACTGGTAGCAACAAGGACAATTCAAGCATAGGCATGCCCCATATGTGCAGTCAGTTACTCTGATAATGAAGATAACATCATTTAAAAATTTCAACTTCCAATTCTGATTTGAGAAAAAGGGTTTTTAACCTCTTATTCAATTTTATAAGAACAAACAGGGGATAACCTGTAATATCATCGGTCAGTATCTCTTTCTCTTGTTCTGTTCTTTCTCATAAAGGATTCCAATTCAAATATGCTCTCCCAGACAATGCATTAATTAATAGCTCCTGTTGTTTGGCATCAAATTAAGATAGATTTCCGAACCACATGGTAGTTGCCAGTGGGGCAACAATAAAGGGCAGGACAACTCATTAGAGGTGTCAAATAGTAAGGGAAGCATCTTTGCTCCCCATTTGCTTTGTAAGAGATCCATAGTAACATTTGCTTTAGTCAAGAGAAAGTCCTTGATTGTTAGTGCCTTCAATATTCAAGGAGTAGTAAGGTTGGTTGGCGCTAGAAAAAACTCTTAATATAATATCATCGAGATGCAAAAGAATAACAACCGCATCATGATCCCTTCTGTAAATTGTCTACTCAGCTTGCAATAAATTCCTGAGAGAAAACAAAATAAGTGAACTGTTGAAAACAAGCATGAGAAGCTTGTTTAAAACCATGGATAGCTTTCTGAAGTTTACAGACATAAGATTGATGTTCCTTGTCTCAAAACCATAGATAGACTGGATGAGGCAATTCAGCCCTAATATCTTTAATTTTATACAATCTTGTGTAGAATTTACTATGGATGGAAGAGAGAATAAACTGATTGAGCTGGCCGGGAGTAAAAAATTTAGAAGGGTGGCTTGTAATGGGTTGAACAAAATGATGAGGAAGAAGTACCAGCTAAATGCTGCTGTAATTTTTTTGTATGGAGAGATGGCAGTCTGGAAGGAGAAAGAGCTGAGAATCCAGAAGCAAACAGCCTGGAGCAGCAGCAAAACACATGACAAACTGAGCTGC